TTTTCCTATCTACCTATCTATCTCTCTGTCAAACGATCTCACCAGCTATGAAACTAGTTGTGTTACTTACTAGCTAACTGACTGTCTGTCAATTTATCTAGATTACCCCTGCACTTCTGTCCTTTTCTTTGCATGTGCCTCAAAGCCTGCAGGTGGCAGGGCCAGTATCTATTTGTTGTTGCGCGGGTGGCAGGTTGATGTCTTTAGGCAGGCCTTCGCCCTCCCTTCTGCTCATTGTTCTGTTCTGGAGGGTCTGAATGTGGTATGGCTCGCATCTATCTGTCGTTGCAATGATGGTAGGTTTTATGTCTTTTAGGAAGGCCTTCGGCCCAATACTATATCCACTTGTCTTCTTATCAAGATATTTATCTGAAGGCACATGGTAGCGCTAGTATTTATTTCTCGTCGCAAGGGTGGTAGGCGCACGTCTTTAGGAAGAACCTTCAGCCTAGAAACGTGCCCACTGCTCTTCTTCACCTTGTCTTCCTCTTTTCACTCCTCATTGTTATTTTTCTGAAGGCTCTGAATGTGATAGGGCTACTACCTATCTGTCGTTGCAAGGGTGGTGGGTTTATGTCTTTTAGGGGGGCCTTCGGCCTAGTACACTCCCATGTCTTGTCTTTTCCTCATGGGATGAAGGTGGTGGGGCTTTGCATTTCGAATGAGAAGACGCTTCCCAGTTTCAATTTTGAAGGCTTGCCTCTTACTAGTGCTTCATGTTCACCGTGGATCATTGGGGCATGAAAGAGCACACTTGACGACATAAGTAGATAAATGCAACATAGATATATGTGACTATATGTGTAAATATAGTTATTTAAAAAGTTATGTATTTTATATATGTATTTTTTCATATATATATATATATATACATATGTGTGCACACATATGTAAACACATACACTTACATACGCATGCAGCGTTGCCACACATCTATGCATCTTTCTGCTTATGTACTTATCTTCCTATCCAAATGATCGCCCCAGCTATAAAACTAGTTGTGTTACTTACTAACTCACTGACTGTCTGTCAATTTATCTAGATCACCCCTGCACTTCTGTCCTTTTCTTTGCATGTGTCTCAGAGCCTGCAGATGGCAGGGCTAGTATCTATTTGTTGTTGCGCGGATGGCAGGTTGATGTCTTTAGGCAGGCCTTCGCCCTCCCTTCTGCTCATTGTTCTGTTCTGGAGGGTCTGAATGTGGTACGCCTCGTATCTATCTGTCGTTGCAATGATGGTAGGTTTTATGTCTTTTAGGAAGGCCTTCGGCCCAATACTCTATCCACTTGTCTTCTTATCAAGATATTTATCTGAAGGCACATGGTAGCGCTAGTATTTATTTCTCGTCGCAAGGGTGGTAGGCGCACGTCTTTAGGAAGAACCTTCGGCCTAGAAACGTGCCCACTGCTCTTCTTCACCTTGTCTTCCTCTTTTCACTCCTCATTGTTATTTTTCTGAAGGCTCTGAATGTGGTAGGGCTAGTATCTATCTGTCGTTGCAAGGGTGGTACGTTTATGTCTTTTAGGGGGCCTTCGGCCTAGTACACTTCTCTTCTTCACTTTCTCTTCTTCTGAAGGCTGTGGGCGTTATTGGGAGGCCTTCGGTTTCTGTTCTGCTGATTGTTCTCTTGTGGAAGGTCTGAATGTTGTATGGCTCCTAAAATACTATTTGTTGTTGGAAGGATGGTAGGTTTATGCCTTTAGGGCGGCCTTCGGTCCACTACTGTTGCCATTTGTCTAGTGCTGTGTTCAATGATGTTTCCATTCTACCAGGTACAATCAAACAAACCGTCTCCTAATTTCAGATGCAAAAAATAACAACTTCCGAGACTCAAGTATTGAATGGTTCTTAACCTGGTTCTTACCTACTTTAGCTACTGCTAAAAGGAGAGGCCCTTACTCAAAACAAGCTTTTCCATGGTACAACTCCATTCTTTGGCAAGTGTCCCACACATAATGAATATAATATAGGAAATGCTAGTCTTTTAAATAATTCTGGCGAGTGTCGCGCACATAATTCAAATAGTTTTTTGGTAGATGCTTTTGTTTTTTCAGGTAGTTTTTAATTTTGGTACTTATTTGAGAGTTTTGGGTTCTGGAGCAGAAGCAATCTTGGCACGGTACTCCATTGAAAATGTGACAAAATATTTTTAAAACTATCTGTTGCTACTATTTTTGCCTGTAATTGTTTGAAGGGTTTTGGAGCCAATAGCATTTGAATGATAATGCGATGGAAACGTGGAAAAGAAACAAAAACCGTATGCCTGTTCTTTGCTTTTCCTAAGAGGTTTAGGTTCTGGAGCCAGGAGATATAATTGGAGAACATATTTCAACAAGTGTCCTGAAACACGGTTTTGGGCACACAAAAAAAAGCTCCAATATAGGACACTCGTTGGAAGTTAATTCTTGTAATTATTGGTTTGGGTTCCGGAGCCAGGAAAATAAGAAATATAGTCGGACCTCAACAAGTGTCCTGAAATATGTGTTAGGACAGAAAAAAGGGCTCCGTAGGACACTTGTTGGCAGTCAATTTTTTGTAACTACAAATTGGAGAGTTGGGAATAATGGGAATAGTAATGCGTAAGAAAATTGTGCAAAACCAAAAAAAAATTGAACAGCTTGAAAATCCAGGAAAACATAGGTTTTTTGAATGGAAGCTTGGTAAAGGGTCAAACTTTGAGACTTCCATTCAAAAACCTTAAAAAACCTAGGTGTTGTGAAGATTTTTGGATGAAAAGTGTCAAAAACCTAGGTTCTTTCAAGGTTTTAGCGAGAAAAACCCAACAGCTTGAAAACATTGAAAACCACCTGATTTTTGTTTTTTCCATCCAAAACATCAGAGAAAGGCTAGGGACACATAGATATTTTTCAATGGAAGCTTCGTCAAGGTTCCAAATTCGAGACTTCCATTCAAAAACCTTCAAAAACCGAGGCGTAAGTCCAGAATTCCAATTTAGAAGTTGTATTTCGATTTCAACTTTTTGGAATCTGCAAAATCCAAATCATTTTTTTGAAAGCTTTTTCCCAAAAGCATCTCCGATGCTTGCGTTCTCGTTTAGTTACACTTGCCGCGAGGGAGCGATACGGAAGTGACGAGAGGGTGTGGGCGGAAGGGAAACCGTGGGAAATAGCGTGGGGAGAGGTCCGTTGGGAGGGAACGTATGGAAGCGACGACCTTGGGTGGACGGAGAGAAAACCGTGGGAAATAGGTTGGGGCAGAGCTCCATGGGGAAGGAGCGAGATGGAAGCGACGAGAAGGTGGACGGAGGGGAAACCGCGGGAATTAGCTTGGGGAGAGCTCAGGCAGCTGTCTTGAAAGCTCATGAGTCTGCCGCCCATGAGTCTGGTGCTGGCCATGAAGTCAAGGCCAAGGGCAAAAAGCGCAAGGTCACTGATGACAAGTTGTTTCTCGCCGCTTGTGCAGATATCCCTGCCGGCCATCCAAGATCCATGGATGCCAGAGCGACTGGTCCATGTGGAGTTTGGTGGCCAGTCGGATCCCTGGATGGAAGTGAATGAGACAAGCTTGCGTCAAGTGGTCCAAGGGATTGCTGAATGCAATTCCAAGTGCGGCCGTGCTCGAACCTCGAAATCTGAGAAGATCAAGCCTGAGCCCGTGGGGAAGGAGCGATACGGAAGCGACGAGAGGGTGGACGGAAAGGAAACCGTGGGAAACAGCATGGGGAGAGCTCCGGTGGAAAGGAGCGATATGGGAGTGACGACAGGGTGGACGGAAGGGAAACCGTGGAAGCGACGAGAGGGTGGACGGAAGGGAAAGAGCGAGCGATACGGAAGCAATGAGAGGGTGGACGGGGGCGAAACCGTGGGAAATAGCATGGTGAGAGCCCCGAAGGGAAGGAGCGATACGGAAGCGGCGAGAGGGTGGAGGGAAGGGAAACCATGCGAAATAGCTTGGGGAGAGCTCCGTTGGGAAGGAACGATACGGAAGCAACGAGAAGGTGGACGGACGGGAAACCGTGGGAAATAGCTTGGGGGGAGTTCGGTGGGAAGGAGCGACATGGAAGCGACGACAAGGTGGACGGATGGGAAACCGTGGGAAATAGCTTGGGGAGACCCGTTGGGAAGGAGCGATACGGAAGCGACGAGAGGGTGGACGGAAGGGAAATTGTGGGAAATAGCTTGGGGCGAGCTCCGTTGGGAAGGAGCGATACGGAAGCGACGAGAGGGTGGACGGAAGGGAAACCGTGGGAAATAGCTTGGGGAGAGGTCCGAGGGGAAGCAGCGATATGGAAGCAACGAGAGGGTGGACGGACGGGAAAAAGTGGGAAATAGCTTGGGGAGAGCTCCGAGGGGAAGGAGCGATACGTGAATGACGACAGGGTGGACGGAAGGGAAACCGTGGGAAATAGCTTGGGGAGAGTTCGGTCGGAAGGAGCGATACGGGAGTGACGAGAGGGTGGACGGGGAGAAACCGTGGGAAATAGCATGGGGAGAGCTACGATGGGAAGGAGCGATATATCGGGAGTGACGACAGGTTGGACGGAAGGGAAGCAGTGGGAAATATAGCTTGGGTGACCTTCGGTGGGAAGGAGCGATCCGGAAGGCACAAGAGTGTGGACGGGGGGGAAACCGTGGGAAATAGCTTCGGGAGAGCGCTGAGGGGAAGGAGCGATACGGAAGCGACGAGAGGGTGGACGGAAGGGAAACCATGCGAAATAGCTTGGGGAGAGCTCCGTTGGGAAGGAACGATACGGAAGCAACGAGAAGGTGGACGGACGGGAACCGTGGGAAATAGCTTGGGGGGAGTTCGGTGGGAAGGAGCGATACGGAAGCGACGAGTGGGTGGACGGACGGGAAACCGTGGGAAATAGCATGCTTTGGATTCATCCGGAAGTTAAGAGGTTATAACTCACTTTAAGAACAAGTTATGTTAACTTTATTCTAAATCCGTTTTAGCCATCCTAACTTTTCCTAACTTTTTTTTTGTGGTTTTTTTGTTTGGAGAAAAAAACTCAGAACGTCTTTGGCTGCATCCCTTTTCTAAGACAGCAGAGACACGGTGCGGTCATCTTCTATTCTATAGTACATGACTCGAATGGATTTGTTCAAGTCTTCGGATTTCACCAGCGCGTTGACTTTTTGTCTTTGCCATCGAGTCCGGTACTTGGGAGTTAATTGAATGGGTTTCAGCATCTCCACAAGAAGAAAAAAGTTCGTGTCAGCTGTTTGCACTGCGGCTTGCACTTGGCAAGCGCACGTTGGAGACAGGATGACATATTGATTTCGTGTATATTTCACGCCTTTCAGGATCAAAGTTGTGCTTGTTTGACACGGATTACTGAGACCTGGAAAATTTTGAATTCCGGTGGATCCGAGCAAAGCTGCATCCAACCAATTCGGCTCATGGCCTTCTTGCAGATCTGCTGTGGATAATTCCAACAGCGCTGATTCGGCAAAGCACGGTGCAAAGCCCCAGTTTCCAGTCGTCAATTTCTTGAAAAATTTGTGTTTCCTTTCCAGCGTGAACGTGTCCAGCAACATGCCACATCGAAGGATTTGCTTTTCCAAATGCAAACCGTAGTGCCACTTCGGTCGCATGCCTGCAGCTGTCCATGCTTCTTTGTATTTTTGGAAGTGTTTTTGCTGCAGCACCGACAGGTTTGAGGCTTGCGAGGGGCAAATTTTGCACGCCCAGACACAGCCTATCACTTCTTGTAGGCATTGCAAGGCCTCAATGTAGGGTCGGAGATGCGGCAGCGCGCCGAGAATCTCTTCGCAGAAAGCCACGACTAGAGATAATGTGGCGGCTGCCGCGTCTGCATCGCCTCTGAAGTCGCCATCTTTTTTCCACAACCTCTCTGAGAAATACGAGGCAGGTTTGGGACCACTTGCAGCTGGACTGCCAACGACGGGTGACCACATGTCAGCATAGCGTTGTAACTCCTTCAGAGTTACGGTGCCTTCTACTTGCATCAAAGTCCACCATTGACCCAACACCTGAGAAATTTGCCCATTGTGGAAGAAGATATGCATGCTGTCGTACAGCACATTTTCGATTTTTACCCACTCTCTCAGCTCAGGTGCCAACAGAGGACCTGCTTGAAAATTTTCCCAATTCCAACCCAAGACCTTTTCCAAGTCTTTCCTTTTGGATATGGTCGGCGCATTGTGTAACAGATCTGCTGCTGCTGCAATGCTTTCAGACGTCTGTGCCCAGAATTTAGGCACGTCACATGATGATATATCGACGTGACTCTCTGCTTCGGGCGCCTTGCCCAGCGCGCAGACATTCAAGCAATGGATACAAGGTTTGATGCCTGCTGACCCCTTGCAGCCACTGGCGCTCCGAATCGCTTCCGCGTCAGCAAGCAGCAAGACTTCCTTGATCTGGATGAGGTCGACGTCTTCAGGTCCCCAAGCAATGGGAAAGCCATTTTGACATTCTTCTTTGAAGGATGTCAATAGGGCCGTCAGAAGCCCTGCCATGCCACCTTGCATCTTAGCAATGTCTGAACTTCGACAGACGCTAGCCGTGAGCCATTGCGACTCTAAGTGTAGCAAGGGACATTCGAGCCAGCTAAGATAAACTACGTTTGCCTTACGCGACTGAGGTGCACTTAGCACGTTGCCACCAGTTACTTCGTCAGCATAGCACAGGAGAGTGAGTTCCCCTCGCTGCTTCTGGCACGCTCTTCGCAAAGATTCCTTGTACAATGGGCAAGCTTGTGCCTTGGCTTCTATCAAAGCCGGTAAGCTCATACATGGCAGTTTGATTGTAGTGCCGTCCTCGGTGCCAGACACATTGATACTTCTAAGACACGGAAAAGCAGCGGCATGAGAAAGTCTTCGGCTACTGCAAGTTCTCTTGCCATGCCCGTCAGAGAATACGGCAATCACCTTGCGACATGCAGCTGGGGTCAGCTCAGAAACTTTGCGCAGTGCGGCAAATTGCTCGGCTGCACTTGCCTCCGCAAGTTTCCTTTTCTTTGTTTCCTGTCTCATGTTTCTCTCTGCTCTGCGGCCAAAATGGCTGCGGAGGAAATATATATTAACTTGCTGACATAAGGAACACTGCACACTTGACTACGCGGTTTCTATTTGGTTCCCTTGGGGGACTTCTGTTTTGACTTTCGCTTCAAATTTATGTTTGTTTTGGTGCATGTGCCTCAATATTTGAATTTATTATCATGCAAATCTCTTGGCGTGAAAGACACTTTTTTTGGCTCCGTTCGCACATGCGTGCGTGTAGCTCTCAAATTGCCCCTTTGCGGTTGCGACCGGTCACACGCACGGACGCAGATGCAGTGACCACAGGCCCGCCATCCTCCTGGGATGACACTTGGATTCCTTCAGTTGCTTCTCTGGCACGCGGAGCCTCTCCAGCCTTTGCACCGGCCACTTGGGCATCTCGTGGATGCGCGTTCTCAGTTGCGCGAGGTTGCTTGAGCAGCTCAGCTATGTCATAGAATCGACCTACATTTTTTTTCTTATAGTGCAATCGAAGTTTGTCGCCGGTAATGTGGTAGCTTTCCAGGTGTTTCAGAGCGCTACCTTTTGGCATCTCTAGATTGAGCCAGCAGTCTACGGGAATGTTGGGCGTGGAGAATGTCCGGGAAGCAGACGGCCTTCGAGAAATTCTCGGTACCAAGCTGATGCATGCAGAATTATACGGCATCACTGCGCGAGAAAGAATGCTGAAGATGTTATTATATGTATACGAAAACCCAACGTCTTTCGAACTCGTGCCGTCAACATATGCATGTTATTTGATTCCGAAGAGACATTGTTTAAGATTCCAAGAAACCGGCTGCATATTCGGGCAAATTTGGTAAGACAACGGCGACCAAGTCTTTTTTTCCTCCCCGCATGGTGTTTGATGCACGATCGTGTCTACTACGGCTTCTGCGTATCTTCCAACGGCTATGAAGCAACACAATCGTTTCACCCAAGCTTCACCATTATTTCCGCTGGTCCATCCCAGCGTTCCTCTCATGTTCTTCAACATGATGCAAAGCAGCTTCACGAGGATTTCCCGCGGAGTCTCTTCTTTGGAGCAGCCTTTGGAGCAGCATCGTCAGCGGCGGCGCCATCCGCGGCGTTCCCATCAGCGGCATCTTTGCGCTTGGACGTTGCCTTTTTGCTTTGGGCACAGGCATATGGGATTTCAAGTTTTTGATAACCTCCACGCACGTCTGATGCAAGGTCTTCACGTCCGCTGATTCATACGGCAGGGAAGGAAGCTCAACCTCTCCTGCTTGCGCGCTGTCGCTTTCAGCTTGCTGCAGCATTGCCTTTGCAGCTGCTGTCCAGCGCTGTAGTGAATCCAAGGCATGCTTAGCAGCAGTTCCAATCTCCTCCGGAACATCAACTGCCTTGTTGCACGCCTTGGTCAAGGCTTGCAGGTCGTTGCTTAGCGGCCAACGCTCTTGGCTGCAAGCATGTTCTTCTTCGCGTTGCCCGCTTTAGCTTTGCGCAAGGCTACTTCGGCTGACTTCTCGTCTTTCTTCGTCTGCTTCCCTTCGTCTGGCCCAGCTGCAGCCTCTGGCAAGTCCAGCTCTTCTTCGCCCTCGACCCGCTTGCCTTTTTTGCCTTTAGTCTTGGCTGCTTCGCGCTCCTGGCGCAAGATACGTTCGCTCACCCGCTCATGGGTCTCTCGCCAGAGGGACTTCTTCGTAGGCACTTTGTATACATACGTTTTCAGTTCCTCAGACCACTCACGCGGGCAATTTTCCACGACGTCCTTCTCCCAACCTCGGGTTGTCCAGACGCTCAAAGGCAATTCTTCCGTTTCCACTGATGTGGACGCCGAGGTGATATGCCTGGTGGTCACCATTGCAATCAATTGAGCGCGGATAGTTTTCCACGACAGATATTTGCCTCCTTGTTTTTTCTCTTCTTGGAGCCGTCTGAAGAACTGCATTTGCTCTTCGTGGGGCAACTCCTCCACTTCACTTTTGCTGCCCAGGTTTCGGCGCAGCTGCCGGTCAGCTGTGCCACATGGGTGGCATGTGAACTTCTGGCCATGTTGGCGACCAGCGGTACCATCGTACCATAAGCCACACAAGCAGCAGCAGCACTGCGCAGACACGACTCCGGAAGGCTCCGCCATGGCCACGTTGCAACGTTCACACAAGCAGATCCAAACTCCTATCTGTCCCCTCGTGAGCCTGCATGCGGACCAATGAGGAAGGTTTCTTTTTCATCGAAAACAGTTACATACCCGCGGACAATTCAAGACCTCACACATGCCCATGCTGCCTGCCGTGGACAAACGCGGACAATGACGGAACAAGCCCGACATATGTTAAACAAGATCCCATGAAAGACTTTCCTTTCCGTGGACAATTCTTTTCCGCGGACAAATGCACGTTGAGTCACCCCCCGCGGACAAACGCGGTCAAAACGCGGACAACTGTCCGCACACCTTCGTCGAACCTTAGGCCGCTGCTCAAAGCTGAGATTCCTCCTCTTGCAGCCGCTGAACCTCTGCCAAAGCAGTGTAGATCCAAGTTCCTTCAGGCAGCTCTCTGATGTTCCTCATAGCCTGCAAGTGGTCAGCAACTGCTCGGTACTTCTCCGCTGCGGAGAGTGTCTCTTCTTCCTCCGGTTGGCGGGTCCAGCGTTCCAACGCGTATCGGCCACAACGCACCTTGAGATAATCGTCATCGTCCCAATGCTGCCAGTACCGCGGCCATTGCATGACCACACTCAAAAGGCTTTTCAGCCGAAGAATTTGCACTTCCGCGTCTTCTGCTCCCGGACGCTGCGCACACTTGACTTCTACAGCCGTCAACACTTCAGACACGTCTTCGTACAAGTGCGTCCATTCACACAACGCATTCGTGTCAGGTAGGCCAAAGAGGGCTTGTATTTGATCGCGCAAGGAACGCAATCGAGCCACAGGGACCTTGAAGGTCGCGTCCCGTGTGTTTGAGGCTGATGCCTCCAAAACCATCATCATTGCAGCGCACACCAGTACCAACAAGCACGATATAGAGAATCTTGCCTTTGAGCCATTAAAGCCAACGTCACCCGGTCCATTCCTATTTAGTTAAACAAACTCTTGCTCCCAACAGCATGAACCCCATGACTCACACGAGCACCCCTCTTTTTCTCGCTTCGATCAGCATGGTCACCAAGTCCGCTGCCGGCGCGTCAGCTGTTGATATTGATAACGATCTGCTGCTTCTGAGACGCGCTGGATCCCGTAGATCCACTGGCCGCAGAGGTGCCCTGGGATTGCATCGGGCAGTTCTTGGGTTGCGTGGACCCCGTAGGTCCCTGCGGCAGAGACTGCCTGGGCGGCGGCGGCTCTTCGACAACAATCTCTTCTGTCTCATCCTGCGGCGCAGCCGCCTTCACCATGGAACGACTCCGTAAGACCGCAGGCGCCGAGCGCGGCTTCGGAATCACAGGCGGCGGAGGAGCCATGTCAAATGCATGGCTTGGGGCCGGCAGCCAACGCCGCTTCGCATACAAAGCTGCCGCATCTTTCCCAGCCTTCACCCACGCCAAGTCGCTGTCTTTTTCTTTCACATCGGCAGCCATTTGGTTGTAAAACTGCCATTGCAAGCATGTGCGGTTTGACCACTGATGCTGCGCGCGGCCGCTGGGCTGCGAAGTGATTTCGCTCCAGCAGTGCGGACACTTCTTCGTGCCGCCTTTGGCCGCCTTCCCAGTCGGCTCCAGGGCCTGCGACCGCGACGCCTGTGGGGCTGCGGCGACTGGCTTTGCCGCGTCCTTCTCAGAACTGTCACTGCGGCGACGCTTGTCCCGTGAGCCGCGTCGCTCACGTCGTCTCTGGTGGGTTCTCCTGCGTCGCTCATGTCTGTCTTCCCTTCTTCTTCTCCTGGCATCGCAGCGCTTGTTGTACGAGTAGCTCGGATCTCGGTTCGATTTTTTGTGGCCGTGATCACCTCTGCTGCTTCTCTCCCGTCTGCTCTTGGAACGGCCTCTGGCCGACTTACTGGCAGCCGGGCTTTGTGGCACAGACTCCTCGTCAGACGACTCAGGCGTCGGATCCCTCGGCTTCGGCGGGGATCGAAAAAGGCGACTTGCGGCTGCCCTCTCCATGCGCCATGCTGACCTGCAGAAGCAACATGTTAGGAAGAACTGACATTCATGCATGCACGTGTGACGTGTGTTTATATAATAGTTACATATATGCATGCATGCATGTTATGCTGTGTATGTGCGCGCCGAACAACTTCCGCTCTCGTACGCACCCACGCAAGCCATACGGACTCCTTACGTTGCCTTGGACATGGCATAGTGAGTCCACGTAGGATCTCTATATCCCTCTATAGGAAGTATATGCGACACGGTGCAAGTCTATCTCCACGTAGGAGATTGCCCCACGTAGGAGCTCGACCTCCGCGTAGGAGGTGGCAACGCAATGGACATCTCCACGTAGGAGATTGCTCCACGTAGAAGCTCTCCCTCCGCGTAGGAGGTGGCAACGCAATGATCGTCTCCACGTAGGAGATAGCTCCACGTAGGAGCTCTACCTCCGCGTAGGAGGTGGCAAAGCAATGGACATCTCCACGTAGGAGATAGCTCCACGTAGGGGCTCTCCCTCCGCGTAGGAGGTGGCAAAGCAATAGTCTTCTCCACGTAGGAGATTGCTCCACGTAGGAGCTCTACCTCCGCGTAGGAGGTGGCAACGCAAAGGGCATCTCCACGTAGGAGATTGCTCCACGTAGGAGCGCAAAACCTCCGCGTAGGAGGTGGCAACGCAATAGACATCTCCACGTGGGAGATTGCTCCACGTAGGAGCGCAAGACCTCCACGTAGGAGGTATAGCCAAAGAGTCTAGACATCGCAGCTATAGATACTTCCACGTAGGAAGTTCATTTGTCTCCACGTAGAAGACGACTCCAAGAGAGGCGCAGCCCAGAAGGTCAAGCAGCAACACGCGCACAGCATGTACGTGTGTGTGAACGTATCTATTTATCTATATGATCTTATATATGCACATCTGTCTCTCTCTCTCTCTCTCTCTCTCTCTCCGTCTCTCAAAATCTCTCTCTCTCTGTCTCTCCATGCATACATATGTCGAACCCCCGCGGCCCTTCCGTCTTGCCTCCACGACGCGTCCGTCAAGCCCGAGCGTGCTTGAACCACTCTAAAAAGGGCTGCAGTGCACATAGTGATAGCACAGACACTTTACACTTGCCAGGTACATGCATTCCTCTAACACTTTCCATGCAATAAAGCGACAATGGTTTTTTCTTTCTCCACAGAAGTTAATCTAATCCTTCATGTTGAAGCCGCGGTAGGTCCAGCAAGACAAAGTGCAACCTTTCCTAAAATAACATTTGCTGCAGCCGCCCCGAAATTTGACTTGTAGTTCCTTTGGAACCCGTTCTTGAATCAACCGGAGACGCCGTGCATCTCTGGTCTCTCCCTCGACAGTGGCAGCTGCAGGACGACGCAAGGCGGCAGCTGGTCGATGCTTGATGACCTTTGAACTAGCTGGCCTTTTCAAACCGGCTTTCTTCACAGACTTCTTCGGCTTCTCGTCCGGTGTTTTCACGTCGCCCCGCAAAGCCGCCAAGGTTGCTGTGACAGCGTCCTTACCGGTAGCATTTGCCTCTACTTTCTTCTCTTCCGTTTGAGGCTCAGACGCCGGAACAACCACCGCAGTCATATCCACATCTTTCTTATCTTCCAAAGCCAAAACTGGCACCGTCGGTGCAACCGAATGTGGGCTCTTATTCGTCATCTGGAATCCCGGAAGTGACACACCCTCGGTAGGCTTCTGCCCGTGCAAGAAACCGGCAACGAAATTGCCCATATGTTGAAATAAGTCGGCTGCGTCCTCACGCTTCGCAGGAGCAGGGACCGATCCACTCGCTGCAGAAACACCCTGGGCGAACCGATGGGTGGAGCGCATGGGCCAGTCCTTTGCCCGCTGCTGCAAATGCTCATATGGCCTCTGACAAGGCACTGGCGAGTCCGTCCCAAAGGCACGTGTCAGATGATCCGAAGAACAATCCTCTGGCTTCTTAGAACTGGGCGGGATGGCTTGCTTCAAAAATTTCTGCACATTCGACTTCTCACGCAACGTCACTTGCCACTGCTCTGTGCCCAACAAGTGCCCGTCGAGATCAAACACCAACGTGAGAATCATGGCCTGCGTTAGTTCGGACGCATTGCTCAAACCCAGCTGTCTGCAATGCTTACACAACTTTTCCAACGCCAGACTCTTAGAATCTTCGGCCAAAGACTTCCACAACCCAGTCGTCAAGTAGTGCGGAAGCGCCAAGTAATCTTGCAATGGCACATTCTTGCGCTGCATGCCATCATCCACCAAAGTCACAGCTGACTTCAAGGTATCCACATGTGGACCCCAAATTGCGGAATCCAACAGATCCACCAAAGCTGCAGCCGTTTCCACTGGAACAGGCGTCCGGCTAAGTTTCTTCCATAGACTGTCCGCTTGCTTATCTCTGGCTTCTGCAAAGGACGGAAGGTGCCGCACCGTTCCCAGAAATTTCTGAGAAGTGCGAATTTGCTTCTCCAGCGCGCCCGACATGGCCACCTACCTTTTTGTCACTCTGGGGGAAAAAAAAGAGTTCCCTTCTGAGACCACAAAATGAAGATATTTTCACTTTAGGCACTTAATGAAGATATTAGTAGTTATATGAACTTATCATAGAAGTGTTTTTGCTTTATTTTTACTTATTTTCACTTATTTTTCAATGTTTTTTTGATGATCAGAATTGATTATAGACGATGCATTTTTCTGTTATATATTTTTTGAAAATAGTTGTCGACCTTTTTGTTTCCTTTGGAATATTTTTCTTGCCTTTTTTCATTGTTTTTTTTCATTCTTTTCAGGCATCATCCTTTTAGAAATCACCCTTTTCAGGATTTATCCTTTTCAGGAATTATCCTTTTCAGGACTTATCCTTTCAGGATTTTTTTATTCAGAATGAATCCTTTTCAGGAACTATCCTTAACAGGAATCTTTCTATTCAGATTGATTTCATTTTCAGGAACAATGCTTTTCAGGAGTTATCTTCTACAGGAAATGGTTCTTCTACAGGAATATGCGCGGCTGCGAGTGACACAAAGAATCTTGAAGTACATCTGTGGAGAAATCATTCAGAGGCAAAAGGAAAAAAACATATAAAGGATGCTTCTTGGAAAGAACAATTGCTCTTTTGATGTGTCTTCTTCAATTGTATACGACTGCCCAGATGAGGCTTCGGTTACTACTTCCAAACTACATAATTCAGGGATGAAGATGGATACCTAATTTGGAAAATATTCTATTATATTTTTTTGTTGGTAAAAGATTTAAAGCTAGCTGGCTTGCTTTTTGTTTTGAAAATGTATTTTCTATAATTGCTATTTATGTTTTATTGTTCATATTGTTCTACAATTTACTTTCTTTTGATTTCGCATACTTTGTTCATACGGTTTTTTTGCTGAGATTTTGGTGGTTGATTAATCGCAGGGAATTATTAATCCTAACTTGACATTATTATAAATACTTACTTATCCTTTTTTTTCTCTATAAATATTTCCTGAATTTTCTGACTTTTCTGAATTTTCTGAAATTTCTGGATTTTCTGAATTTTCTGAATTTCCTGAATTTTCTGAATTTTCTGAATTTTCTGAATTTTCTGAAATTTCTGAATTTTCTGAATTTTCTGAATTTTCTGAAATTTCTGAATTTTCTGAATTTTCTGAATTTTCTGAATTTTCTGAATTTCCTGAATTTTCTGAATTTTCTGAATTTTCTGAATTTTCTGAATTTTCTGAATTGTTTTCCTTTTAATTTAAATTGTAAATTCTGAATTTTCTGAATTTTCTGGGTTTCTGAATTTTGTGAATTTTCTGAGTTTTCTGAATTTTCTGAAATTTTTGAATTTTCTGAATTTTCTGAAATTTCTGAAATTTCTGAATTTTCTGAATTTTCTGAATTTTCGGAAATGTCTGAAATTTCTGAGTTTTCTGAATTTTCTGAATTTTCTGAATTTTCGGAAATGTCTGAAATTTCTGAGTTTTCTGAATTTTCTGATTTTTTCTGAATTTTCTGAATTTTCTGAATTTTCTAAATTTTCCTTTCCAGGAAGTATCCTGCAGGGAACTATTCCCTACATTTTTTTCCCTTTCCAGGAAGTATCCTGCAGAGAACTATTCCCTACAAAATTTTTCCTTTCCAGGAAGTATCCTGCAGAGAACTATTCCCTACAAAAGTTTTCCTTTCCAGGAAGTATCCTGCAGAGAACTATTCCCTACATTTTTTTTCCTTTCCAGGAAGTATCCTGCAGAGAACTATTCCCTACAAATGTTTTCCTTTCCAGGAAGTATCCTGCAGAGAACTATTCCCTACAATTTTTTTCCTTTCCAGGAAATATCCTGCAGAGAACTATTCCCTACAAATGTTTGCCTTTCCAGGAAGTATCCTGCAGAGAACTATTCCCTACAATTTTTTTCCTTTCCAGGAAGTATCCTGCAGAGAACTATTCCCTACACAATTTTTCCTTTCCAGGAAGTATCCTGCAGAGAACTATTCCCTACAATTTTTTTCCTTTCCAGGAAGTATCCTGCAGAGAACTATTCCCTACAATTTTTTTCCTTTCCAGGAAGTATCCTGCAGAGAACTATTCCCTACAATTTTTTTCCTTTCCAGGAAGTATCCTGCAGAGAACTATTCCCTACATTTTTTTTCCTTTCCAGGAAGTATCCTGCAGAGAACTATTCCCTACAAATTTTTTCCTTTTCAGGAAGTATCCTGCAGAGAAATTGTCCCTACATTTTTTTTCCTACCATTTTTTTTCCAAATAGGCGCCTTCAGAGAATTGTTCTTTAGCAGCATATTCCTGTTCAGGAAGGTTTCGTCAGAAAAGTAGTGCTCTGTCGAAAATCAACATTCCTGCGAATCTATCAAACACACATAAAAATCAAATTTCACTTCTTATCACTTCTTTTCGCTTATTTTGGCTTATTTTTGACTAATATTCTACTATATTTGCTTATATTTTCCTTATTATGTTATAAGTTCACCTAAAAATTTAATGGAACTTATAACAAAATATTTTTGAAAAAACAATTTGAACAAGATATTAGAAGGATAATAGTAACTTATAGTATACTTATAAATTCATTAAGTGCCTAAAGTGCAAATATTTGCATTTTGTGGTCTCAGGACTTCTTTTCGGTCCCATCCTCAGCACGATGATATTCCTGCAAGTCGTGTGCTATTGCTTTACTGGTCTTGACTTGGTTAAAGAACAGAGTCTCCAGAATGCTAATCTCAGGAATCTTGGGGATACCAGCCATCACTTGATCCCAATTGCTGATGAATCCGCGTAGGTTGTCACCCTTAAGTTTGACACTGAACAAATCCTGTAGTGAGTAGGTCGCTCCATGCTTGATGTTTGTACTGAAATGTTCATGCATCATAAACAGTACTTGACGGCCCCTCACATAACGATGGTTTGTTGCTTCAGTCTCTTTATAAGTGTCAACCTTTCTTGCGAAATCACCTGTGAGAATATTGGTGAGCGCGGACAGCAATTTGGCATCCAGTGTGGTGAACTTGCCTACGTCACGAAGAGCCCCGATTGTTTGGCCTTCTTTCCAGGTCTCACTTATCCAATCAAATGCTTTATCAGGGTCAGTAGATGCTGACATTACGGCTTCCCTTGTGCGAATCCTCCAATTTCTGTATGACTCCGCATGGGGAAAAGCTGGAACTTTCACAGTGTCGGCTTCTTTGACCTTGTTCTTTTCATGTGACTGGTCCCTGGAACTGCCGAACATGGCTCTCATGCGACGGATGAATCGATGGTCACTGTCATCAGAGTTGTACCCATCCCCGTCTCCATCATCATCATCACCGTCCCCAGGCCCACCTCCCGGTGGGCGTCGGCTCCCCGAAGGGGGCTTCTTCCCACGATTGTCCTTACCACGCTTGCTGTCGCGATCTGCCTGTGAGTCCTTGTCATCATCTGGGGGGTCAAGGTCCTGGCTTTCCACCGGCATCCGATGGTGCAACACTTGTTGGCGGATATGTTGGGGACCGAAGACCAGTTATCTCAGAGACAGGATCCTTATTGTCCATTGGTGCATTTCCTTCCGGGTCAAGCATTTCCCAAATATCTTGGTTGGGTTCCACTGGCTTGGATGCACTTGCTGATGCAAATGACGGCAACGGTGCAGAATACTTGACCTCAGTGGACGGTGGCAGGACGGCAGTGGCGGTTTGGACAATTGGAATCGGCATTGGGCCTATCGTGTCAAGGAGTTTACTCATCCTCATGTTCATGGATTCGGTTTGCAACTGTTGGGCCTTTATTTGCTCACTTTGCTGCTTGATGATGGATTCAAGTTGGGACATCTGCATCTTGCGGTGTTCATCCTGGCGTTCATAGTGATCCCTGAGTGATTGGATTTGTTGTTCCTTCGTTGCATTCGACTGTCTGGCATTTCCGTCTAAAACCCTTTTATATACTTCCCCTTGCTGGGCCAATTCTTCACGAAATTGATTTTCCCGACTCTCTGCGAGCAACATCATGTGTTGCATCCGGGCACTCGCAGCTTGTTCTTCTGCATGGAACCTACCGCTCATTTCGGACATCATCGATTGCACCATGTTTTCAGTGTTGGCTAATGCCTCTCGATGACGTGCTTCGGCAACCTGCTCAACCATCTGTGTAATTGCAGGGTCGTGTGAATTCACGTACACTTCATTGTTTTGTACCTGTCGTAGATTCATGGTGTTATTCACCTCAGTCATCTCATGGTGGTGTACCTCGACAGTGTTGGATTGTACATGATGTGAGCCGGCAGGCATGCCCTCCCGGGATGCGTGAAAGTCATATCCACGGTGTGAAAACCTCTGAGCTCCACTTTGGGGCACAACGGCGCCTGGTGGAAGCGGGACACGGACCTCACGTTTATCACTGCGGGAGCGTTCTGAAGGAGTCTGGGAAGTTGTGTGACTTGGTGCATTGTTTCCAGTTTGGCCATAGTCTGCATCCTCGATCGCCATGGCTTGATGGATCCCGGATTCGCGCGAGCCCTCTGGAGATGGTTTTCCAAAGGGGGCAGACATTTACTTACAAAAGGAAAGTATCTGGCGATACGGCTGATAACCTATATTTATAGGCACCACAGCCACGATCAACCAGGAAGCAACGCACTTGTTTTTCTTGAGCCATAAAGACATGGATATACAAAGTACACAATCAGGCGTAACTTTACAGGGAGGTAAAGAATACTATACATAAGCTTCATGTAAAAAATAAAATATAAATACAGTATATGTATATAATTGTGCACATGTGTGGTTGATGATAAACCACCACAGAATTTCATAGAATGGCTTACCACCAGCCAGATCACACCAGTTTTATCAATTAGACATCCGACATCGCTGTGAAGCTCACTGCTCCAGGCAGGGATCCACTCTCATGCGCCTGCCCAGGTCATCACATGAAAACATCGACCACGGGACCAACACTACTCATAGTCATGGCCATGGCTGGGAGGTCCCCAGTTGTTTAATGGGAAAACATG